CGTTTTCTGTCTGTCTGTCCTCAAAAAGGGTTCTTACGGGTTCTTCTCTTGTCTGCAAAAAATATTGTGATATATGTCTGAAGAACATGTAACTCTCTTGCCTGAGGAAAGCACGTTTCTGCCTGTCCACAAAGATTATTTTGTCTTGTCCACAGATGAAGTGCGTGTACTAAGGATGTGTTAGTGTGTGTCTGAAAAAAACGGGTTCTTCTCTCATCTGCATAAAAAAGAACGTGGTATTTGCTGTCTGAAGAATGTGTTGTTCTCGTCCGTGAAAAAATGCGTTTTTGTCTGTTTGTAAAACGTATTTTGTTGTGGAAACATTTCCCTATAATATGTGTCTGAAAAAAATCTGGGGATTCGCTTGTGTGCAAGAAAAAAAACAAAAAAAAATAGTTTTCTGTCTTGGGAAACGTGTGTGTGTTTGGTCTGCCTGACAAAGGTGTTGTTAGTTGTCTGAATATGGTGTTCTTCCATCTATCTGTCTGAATAACGTGTTCCATTGATCTGTCTAAATAACGTAATTCGTTCTGCAGACCGGGCACTGCAGCTTTGGCGACAAGTGTCGGTTTAGGCACATCTCTCGCGGACAGCTCGCGGTGGTGAGTGTTGACCTACGCATACGTTTAGGAGAGAGGACATCAATAAATGTAGAAACAGGTGTGTGTAGTGCTTGCGATAACCGTCTACTTAGTAGAAGATGGCAATAAAAAAGCAGCAACACAGGTAAGCATTTTTTCCAGTAGCCGTTTAGAAGATTGCCATGAAAACAGAAACAGAGCTATTCACGTAAGTCTTTCGATAACCGTTTTCTGCAAGAAAAGCAGAAACACATTGCTGTGCTTCCAATAAACGTTCAGAAGATGGCAATATATGCACAGTGCTTCAATAACAGTAGAGAGTCTTCCGGTAACCCTAGAACATTTAAACAGGTAACGCTTCGACTAGCGCTAGCGTGGATTAATGGCTAAAGTCGTTTCTCGCTAAAGGACCCACGAGGGTTCTGGTTCGAACAGGCGTCCCTGCGCCGGGGAAGTGTCGTTTAGGCTGGTACCCCTCCTTTTGTTGTACATTCTGTGGGGCACCATGCCTGGGAGAAAAGGTCGTCCGTAACGGGAGAGTGTCCTTGAAAATGCGTCCTTAACAGAGAGATGAGGGGAATTTTTTATGCACTCACATATTTGTGGATGGAGATGACTCGTCTGTCGATATAGATGGACTCGTTATGTTGCAACAAGAAAACAAGATACTCGTCCATATACTTTCAACACTGAAAGACCACCCGAGATACTGTAGTTCTTCAGTAGTCGAAAGGCATGCGTTGAAATGAAAGCCTTTGCAGCACGTGGGGGGTCAAAACCGTCTGAATCCTCCCGGACTTGT